CTTCTTGTTTCATTAAAAAAAAATAAAAAAAAGAAGTTATTGTTTTTACCTGATTAAAATCTCCAGTGTGGTAAAGAACCACCGCTAGAAGACTGTAAGCACTTGCAGTGGCACGATGATTCGGACCACAAACAGCAATCATCTTTGTCAATGCCTTCAAATACATGGGAATGAATTAATATCAGAACAATCAACTTCTCTTCACAAGAGGAATACTATTTGAACAAAGATCACAAGTAGCTTTTTACGGCGGTACCTTGGTTCCATAAGTAACAGCATCCTCAAGCTTTCCTTTATCAAGAGCAATTTTTGATGATTCTAGTAAATTCCTACCATCTGCCGAAGAGCATGCTACATGCTGTTTCGCAAATTTAACAAGTATTAAGACAAGTTTAATTAGCAATTAGCTCAATGTATCAACTAACAAAAATGAAGCTAAAAAATGGGTTGGGTAGGAGTTGCACCTTACACACGGGAACCAAGCTAATAATATCATATTTTCTGAAGGGGTTTGGGCATTCCAAGTCATAATCTCTTGGGACCAACTCCAAACCAACCTGGAAAAAGAATACATCTTCCAATATGATTCCGTTGTCAACCAAATACCAGTAATGACAGTAGTCATATAAAGGTCATACCTTGTGGCAAAGCCCTCGGAGAATTGAGTACTTTCTCAAGTACGGAAATTCTTCTTTCAGTGTCCAGCCAAATTTTCTGGCTAGATATTTCTCTAACCATCGCATTTTGAGGGCGTCATCATCCTTCAGGTTCTGGTCATTCTCTTGTGACCCAATATGTCCAAGCAAAAAATTTAATGACGATGCTATTGCTGCGGACAAATCTGATACATCGTCAACAGAAGCGATGACTGCTTTAAGTACATGCTTGAAAGCACGAGTAACCATCTCATGTATACAAAGTGACTGTATGTGAGGAAGCTTCTCAGCAAGTTCCACCTGATACATACTGTGTTATTAGAACAAAGTTTAAAACAATTCCTTACAAGTTTTTCCACCTGATACATACTGTGTTATTAGAACAAAGTTTAAAACAATTCATTACAAGTTTATTTCAGAGGGCTTTTACTCACCACACGACCTAAAGACCGCATCTGTAGTCCCCTCAAATGCATGAAGTCAGTTAGTGTACGGCCATCAACTGGAGAAAGTTCAAGTGATCCAAAGTCTGTTACCTAAAGACATTAATAAATTTAGCTTATAAACGTTGCAGAAAAGGACAATAACTTTGTTAAATGTAAAAAAGCTATATTTTTTTACACAAAAAGTTACCAGCTTCGGTAAAGCAGTTTCCTCATAGTATTTTCGTGCCATATTGATTAGCTCATCTACTGACTGTTGCAAGAAATAAACCAGACAGTTAGTCTAAAAGATAAGGAACCTGATTTGTGTCATAATAAGTACAAGCAGTCAAGCTTGTTTAGCAATCCGTTCCGGTAAAACAAACAATAAGATTAAACCAAGGTTCAGAAACCTTAAGATGAAGGCCAGTTCCAGATTCCTTCAGCCGCAAGTAGGCATCCTCAGAAACTAGTTTCTTTAATTCTGAGTCACTGCTCAACTCTACGTTATTTGGCTCTCCCTTATCTAATTCCATTTGCGGGCTGCTAGAGCAAGAATCAGGGTCTTCCCTATTGTTTGTAGTACTTTCACCAGATGATTTCTTTTCCCGCTTCTTCAACGACTTAAACTGCTTGCCAAGACCTTTAATAGCTGGTTCAGACTCATTATCAGCCTTGGAGTTTTTTGAGTTGTTATCGGTATGGGTTTCTTGCTTTTGTAGATGTTGCACCCAACAAGAACCCAGTTCCCATCTGATAGGCCTTTCAAATAGTTTAGGCTCTTCCTCTAACTTTTTCAAGCTCTCTTTGATTACCCTTCGAACCAGACATCTAGAAGTTTCTGAACTATCCAAATCAGATTGACTACCTCCCAAAGTTTCGGTGGTAGACTTTTGAAGCAGAACCCTCAAGCTGTAAAAGAATTGGAATTTCAATCATAAATGGCTTCGAAGCGGTTTCTCAAACTCTTTAAAACTACTTCAATAACTGCTATCTTTTCAATTGAGAAACACTCTGTCAAATCATTTACTCTTTTGTCTAAAAAAGTGAAATCAGTGATAGTGAGCCATAGTCCAAACCTGTTGACATTAAGAGCATTTGCTCCTCCATCTGGTTGATCACCAACTTCAATTTCTAGAGCCTGAAGCTTCCTTTTATTCACATTGCCGACAACTTTAACTGTTGCAATATATCCACAATGACTTACACTTACAACACCCAAGGAAGAAGTATCCTGAAAGAGAAAGAAAGAAAGAAAGGAAAAAAAAAAAAAAAAACTACGTTAGCTCAGATCACTTTGTAGAGAAAACTCGAAAGCTTCACAAAGCTACTTTTGACTTTTTGAGCTGCATAGCATTTGGGCTGTCATAATTTGTTCATGTGCAACAAATATTAACCTCTGTCATAATTTAATCTGATTGAACCAATAAATGATGACGAAGAAATGTGCAACATACATATTGGTCATTCTATGAACATGTATAGGTAAATCCATAACCTTGCCACAAAGTGGAGAAAGTTCTTACATGAACAACTACACTCTCATCTGCAGTTAATCCCTTCAGCAAATTCCTCTGAGCAAATTCCTCAGAAGACAAACCAGATAATTCATCATTTACTTTGACTTGAGAATTTGAGGTCACTTCTGTTATATCACGTTTAATTGTGATGGACAAGTCTCCTATTTGTTCCTCATGCACAACTGAAGACTTGTTTGCTTTCGAGTTGGAATCTACAAAATGCTGTATTGCTGAAGCAGCTTTAAAGATTGAGGCATCGACGAATTTACTATGAAGCAAAAAGGCCTTGCGGTCGCGAACCACCCTCTCATCCTCAGTTTTGCAAGGAAGGCTAGCCAGTATTGCAAAATCCGTAGCCCATGGCTGAAGATCATGTTTGCCATTTCTTCCCGGGCCCCCACCATTTCCACCCCAGTTCTCATCTTCTGCTGGTAAGGATGGGCAGTTTGATGGAGAGTCAGCTACCGATGGAGGCACAAGCCATGTGTTTGCTCGGAATCCATATGGAAGATTACCAAACTGAAAAGCATAAACACACAAATTTATGTAACCAAGAATATCCGTTTTTCAGCTCCATACAAAGTACAAACGTTACATAAGTCATGAAATTTACTATGTAAGACACCAAATTTGTACCTTGTTATGTTCAGTAAAGGCTTTGATTAAGGACTCATAAGCCTGCAATGCAAAAAGACAAAGTTGAAATAATTGTTTTTCAAGTAAACCAGCAATATGAAAAAGAAGACTATAGCCATGCCATTTCAACAGAACTCAAAAAAAAAAAAAAAAAAGTGTTGTTCAAAGTACTTACATTGACAAAAGCTTGGCTAAATTGTTGGAGCAGATCAACCAAAGAATGGCTTTGTAGGAACTGTTTCCCCACTGTGTAGAACCCTTTGACTGATGCAACCACTTGTATTTGCTTTCCATTACAGATCTTTATCTGCATAATTAATCATTCACAATTTCAATTCTGCTTCAATTAACTATCGAAAAACTTCATATTGAACAGAAACAATCATTTTCGATAAAAATAAAGACAATTAAGAATTAAAATATAGAAACTCTGAGAATATTTACGAAGTACCTGCATTTGAAAATAGTCTCCGTGGCGCCTCTCTTCTATATCCTCGCATCTTCTCAAATCTACGAAGCCGAACATGAAAAATAAAAAATAAAAATAGAGAAATAAGACAAAAAAAAAAGAGAAAGATTCACAATTCAGAAACAGAATCAATTTGCTTCGAGAATGAAGAAACGGAAGAACTTACGGAGGATCGGAGAGGAGAGGTGAGAGAAAGAGAAGAAGTCGTAGAATTCGGAGAGCTTCGGCGTCGGGTGGATGGCCGCCATCCCGAAATTCTCCGAGATCGCCGGAAACGACGGCGGCGACCGTGCACGGCCGTCGATTGCATCGGGCGCCGAATGTGGGCCCGAGCTCCTGGACTGGCTCACGCTGTGGTTGTTGTTGTTGGGCCTGCTAAGGCTTTTCCTGGACTTTGAGTCTGGGCTCGATGGTGACCTTCTGGACTTTGCGAACCTGGTCGTGCAGGCCACGAGGTCAAGTAACCGCCGCACGTGGGCAATGGCTTGAGCTTCTTCGGTATAGTTTTCTAGAAATAGAAAATAATTGAAAAGCACAATCAGCTTATTATAAACTAAAAATTTTAGAAGTTAAAAAAAATAAATGTAATTGGGGAATTCATTAGGTAGGATTTATCTCTAGTGGTCAGAATTTTTCGTTAATTTTTGTTTTATATGATTATATATATCATCTGTTTATTCTATTACACTTTACCCTCTAGAGCTCCCAAATATGCCAGGGGAAAAAACATAAAAGTTAGATTAACTATTTTTATTTTGGACAAAATAAGAGCCAACGTTTTTTTTTTTTTTTTTTTTTTTTTAAGATTTCCCGCCCATGAATGGAGACTACGGGCCCGTTTGGATGTTTATGGTCAATTTTCCTAAACACAAGTTATTGACACAGTCCATAACGGGGCCTAATTAGTTTTCTTTTTTGACTCAGCATCATGTTGCACAAATTCAAATGGCACGAAGAATAAGATTAATAAAAGTCTTCATTTAAAATGCAAATAACAGCACAAATTATTAATGGTTGATTCTATTCGTAGTTCCCTTTTTACTCTCCAAACACCCCGTTTAATTTTGAAAAGATTAAATTTACTTTTTATATACCCTTATTATTCTAAAATTACCCTAATTATTTTCATGAGATTATTATATATTCTCAAACGTTTTATTTTTTTTAAATCCACTATTTTATTTTAATTTGTTATTTAAATATTATCATTTTTTATCTCTCTATTTTTTTTTTTTGAAGTTTTTCACATGAAGTCTTTTCTCATGCATAAAAAAAATTTACTATTACATTTTTTTTAGTAAAAGACATAAGTATAAGCATGACAACAACATAATTATTATATCAATTGAGGTATTGACCAAAAAAGACAATAGGAAAAAGAAGCGAATTCTAAAGAGTGTTAAAGAAAACATAGAGAGATAATGAAACATAAAATGAAAAATCCAACATTATAAAACAAAAGACCAAAATGAAATAATCATTCTTTAAAAAACAAAATAATTAGTAAAATGACAAAAAAGTTAGGATATAATATGTGGGGTGTGTTGAAAGAAAAAAAAAATGTAGTTAGTCTTCTTTTATAATTAAATTTAATTAAATATTTAAGTTATTATAATTGCTTTTTTTTTTGTAAATTTATTTAATTATTTAATTATTTTTATTTGTTTTTTTTTTTGTCATGTGAAGGCTTTTTAAGAATTTTAATTTAAGGGGAGGTGTGAAGAGTAAATAAGATTGTGTGAATATAACCATCAATTACTAATTTATACATATTCATAATACACTAAAAGTCATTTGTGATATCCATTTAAAAAAAAAAAGTCCTTAGTCATATCTTATGAGATGTAATATGTAACAAAAATAAAAAATATCACTCAATATGATAAAAAATATTATTTATATCACTTTATTTCAAAATAAATAATTATTATTTAATTAATAAAGAAAAAATAAAATAACATGATAACACTTCCCGTTTAGTTTGTTAATTCAAGTTTTTAATTCGAATTGAGATGTGACTTTATGTGATAATTTTTTACTGTAATAAAAAAATTAGATGTGACTATTTTTGAAATTTTTTTATTATAATAAAATTTAAATTGATGGAACGAAGAGAGCCTCAATTGTTTACCATGGTATGTTCTTAATGGGCCTCCCTTCGTAGGGCTACAACTATTATTTCCCGTTTTTGTAAGAATCATGTGCCGTTCAGCGGCGATTAAAACATTGCAATAAATGGACGAAATAGGAGGGAGTGAAACTAGGGCGTCTGCCAACCTGGTTCCTACCATCATTTCATTTATGAAAGTGAAAGCTCATTAATCCCCCAAATTTGTCTTTTATTATTAATAAATATGTGAATGACGTTTCTAAACTGTGTAATACCATTTTGGATTTTCATCCAAGAGCTGAAGGTCAAAAAAGCAATGATTTGCAACAGCACATTTTATGTACATGCACTCCTACAACTTTTTTTTTTTTTTTTGAATATACTCACGTGTTGTATTACAAAAATGTGTTGAGGTAAAAAAAAAAAACAAAAACAAAAACTTTTATTTTTCACGTTTTTTTTAAAAAAAATAAAACGATTTTAAAATGATATTTGACAAGATTAAAGATAAAAAAAATAAAAAAAAAATAATTTTTTAATTTAATGTAAAATAAAAGAGAAATTAAAAATAATTTTTAATCTTTTTTTTTATTTTTATTTTCTCTTCTCTCTCTCGAATAAAGAGAGATATTAATGTATTTTTTATACTAAAAATAATTTTTTAATAAATTTATCAAACATATTTTTTAAAATAATTTATATTTGAGATTAAAACTATTTTTATTTTTATTTTTATATAAAAAATAAAATTATTTTGAAACGAGTTCCCAACCAACACGTATGTTTCTTAACGAAAGTTGTTTGTCTTACTCGGAGACAGGTCATTGTTTGCTTAATTATAGTTTGATTAAATTGATTTTGTCCTTGCTCAGCAAAGATTTAATTAAAAAGGCTGTCCTTGTCTATGAAAAGATTGGTTGAAAGAAAATGCACTGGACTTTTAATTTGTTAAAGCCATTACGTTCGCACAAGTAGATCAAAAATGAGAAAAATGAGACCCACATGAGTAGTTGGTGATGAATTTCACTCGTAAATTTAGCAACGGAGCTTTCACCTACCTTCAACTATTCTCAGCAGACTGGGCTTTAGCGCAACAACCTCTACGCTATCACTCAATTTTTGACCTTTGACCTGTGGGCCGAAAAAACAAGATATTTATTATTATTATTATTGTCGTTTACTCTTATAATTGAAAATACTATTTAAATATAAGTTCAATTTAACAAGTTAAGGTAGAATACCAATATTGATGAAAAACTTACCTCGTGAGAAAGGGAATAGTTTGTGAGGTGGCATGTCTCCACATTTTCAGCCAATAGCCTTCTTACATCAAGTATCTTATCAGTGGAGATGCCCTTCAGAAAATTTTATTTTCATGACCAACCCAACTTGTCATTTATACATACATATATATATATATATATATATATGAATGTCAAAGAAATTATATTCTTTTTTTTTTTTAACCTTTCTATTCAAACATGGTGGCTTTAAATAAATGGGGAGAACAAGAAATAACGGGGGAGTTTTAAACTGACCTTGAGAATAACTTGAGCGTCGTATGGTGTTATGACGGTAATATCAACGACAGCTGGCACAACTACCCAAATACGCATAAACACTCAATAATTAAACATCTTTGGAATGAAATGAAATCCAAGGAAAACGGAAAGGAAATGAAAGAAGAAAATACTATTACTAATTACTACGAGGTATCAAAATGAAAAAGTACCTTTTTCTTCTTTTTTCTTCTTATCTGCCTTTGCTTTGCCGGTCTTACCTCTACCTGATCTTGGGGCCATTTCCCTTTATGATAGCTTATTATGACAATAAGTGATTCTTCAAACCTAGTTTTGGCCGAAAATTAAAGTGAAATTAATGGAATCGTAGAACTAAATAAAAAGAAAAAGAGAAGCAGCGGATTAAAAGGCAATGATACTGAGGAAAAAAAAAAGGAGGTGGACAAAGAGAGAGAGGGAGAGTAATTTGGAGAGGAGAGAAAGTGAAGGAAAATCTTTGTCAAAAAAGGTACTCAAGAAGATAGGATAAGGGTGTTTGGAGGGGTTTAGCCCCTTTTCAGATTTGTGAGCAATTCTGGCCTCTCCTTCTTGCTAAAACACCCTTACCTGGCTAGTGATATTGCTCTCTCTCTCTCTCTCTCTCTCATTCTCTCTCTCATGTGAGTGAAGGCGACGTTATAAGAACAGCAGAGGAGGCCCATGCACTCAGACAAAACCAAAGAATTGGTGGGGTCCCAATTGGAAGGACCGGAACGACCGTTAACTAGGTGACACGTGGCAGATGATGGTGTGGCCGTTCCATTTTTTGTTTTTTGACGTGTTTTAACTTAGATTTTCCCACCGGAGGGGAGAGGTTTGGGGGAGCAATGTTTGTTGAATTGAATTTGGAACTTTTGAGTTTGAGAGAATTTTGTTTTATTTATTTCCCCGATTTAAATTTTAAAATTTAAGTTTTATTATAATAAAAAACTTTATAAATAATTATATTTAATTTTTTTTATTATAATAAAAAAAATTTATATAAAATTATATCTCAACTTAAATTAATAAATTAAACGGTCATTCTTCTGAAGTTATAACTTCTAATGAGTTCATTAATAGTTAATTTATTCTCTCCAAGCATGGTACGGTTATTATTAAATCAGAACTTTTGTCACCTTGTCCTTGTATGTCGTTTCCATAATGTATGATTCATTAAAAAAAAAAAAAAAGAATAATGCCATCACCACAAGTGATTAATACCGAATTTTTTCTACGAATTACAATTTCACATCAGTTTTAAAACCCACTAATTATGATACATAATTCCCACATAGAAAAACTATGTTGAAAATTAGCTAGCAATTGTAATAGTCAGTTTATGCTAAATCATTTATTTATTTAAGACCCGTTTAGTTTGTTAATTTAAATTTTTAATTTAAGTTGATGTGTGACTTTATGTGAGAGTTTTTTACTGTAACAAAAACAGTTAGATGTGACTATTTTTGAGAATTTTTACTGTAGTAAAACTCAAATTCTAAATTCGAATCGGTGAAATGAACATGCCTTAGTATCTACCTCAAAATTATAGTTTTAATTAGCAACCAAACACTAAATTAAAAAAAAAAAACATTGTTAGTAGAGAACAATTAATCCTTAACAGGGTCATATAATGATCTTCTTGCACGCTTTATGGTTTGAGCTTGGTTGCCTGAAATATCTCTTTCGGGAACAATTTGATGATCATAATTAGTCACAAACACTTTAATTTGGGACAGGAATGAGCTTTTTACTCACAATTGTGGGTATCTACAGGTACCTAACTACTCCGAATAGGGCCAGTATGAGGTCATTAAATGGAGATGGGGTGGGTATAAGAGGTTTAGGGCCCGTTTAGTTCGCTGATTCGAATTTTTAATTTGAGTTGAGATGTGATTTTATGTGAGAGTTTTTTACTGTAGTAAAAAAGTTAGATGTGATTGTTTGTGAGAGTTTTTTACTGTAGCAAAACTCAAATTCTAAACTCGAATCAGCGAAATGAACGAGGCATTATATTATCTCCTAAAAGGGGAACAGGTAGAGACGTAGTCACACTTTAATTACTTCAGTAGGGGCACAAAATGAAAATCTATAAACTAACATAATATGAAAATTAAGTAAAACTATAGTCATTTTTAAATAAAATTATATTAATTAGTAATTCAGGATCTTTCAGATGTTTTGAATTGTCAAATTCCTCTCTAGTTAATTTTGCATTGTTGTTAGGACTGGCGACTCCATTTTTTTTTTAAGATATCTCAATATAACTAGTTGTTCACCATACAATTAAAACAATAAATTTAACAACCTACTATAATATTTATACATATTATGAAAAGGTATCTTATTTAGGGATGGTAATAGGAGGAGGCTGGGCTGGGTGGAGACAGGTATGCTTCCCCTGCCCCCATACCCTACTCCCTTTTTACTCTCATACTGCTTAATTTAGGGTGGAGTCGGGGTCAGAGATTTCTCAGTGGAGGAACAATTCACATATCATACCTATTTACCTATTAAGAAATAAGAGTTTTAAAAAAATTGTAACATTATTATACTCAAAGTAAATTTCATAAACTAAATCTCTGACCCGTGTATTTGAGTAAATTTCATGAATTGTCCTCATCCTTAATTTGGAATTAATTTAAATTTTAAGTTAGTATGTTGTGTAAAACAGATATATACACGGGGGAATTGATCAATTAACACATATAAGTGCCAACTCGATAATTTCTTCAAGATGATCGTTTCATTTTCATCATTAAACATTTATTAGTTATAAAAGAAATCTTCAGAATCCTTATAATTAATCCAATGAGAGTGGAAGATGGCGTTTTGATGTTTACGGGAGAGTTCGTCCAATTTGGAGCTAATTGTAGATAAGGAAAATTAATTTTAACAAAATAAAGGTAGGATTGTTGTTACTTTTTCATGTCTTTTACTTGGGATACCGGTAATATTTAGAGTTAAGGAGATACTGTATGAGATATTTGTTGGGAATAGTGTTCTAGAAGCATTAAATATAATAGGATATTTATTATTTAATTAATAAAAGAGTTTATTCATCATTTTATGTGCATATATTTATGAATATTTTATGAATATCAAATGAAAATTTCGTGATTATTTATATAACCTTAAACATAGTATATAAGTGTTATATACGAGAGGATAGTGTTTAAGGATAATAATTAAAAACATTGTTCATGATGAATTTAATTAAAGTTTGAAATCTTTAATTAAAGCATTATTAATACATGTTATTCCCATTTAGAATGGAACGGTGTTATCCACACTGTTAATATGGCGAGATATTGAATGAGTGTATTTCACATAATAAGATTATGTGGAACAAGGACACACACACAATATGAATTTCTAATAATTTCTGTTAAGAATAGAAATTCTAATTGAGTCTACTGATGGTCATATATAGGATGATCTTAATCCCGAGTTATTAACAAACTCCTATTTATAGATTTATGTCTTTTGATTTACTCGGTACGGATTCTGAGACCCTGAATCATATTCCTTATATTTTAGAGACATAATGAAATAGGTAGCTGGGAATGTTATTATACGAGATGGAATCCATTCCTTCTTGAGAAAAAAGTAGATAAATAATTCTCTTGAGTGTTTATTCGGTACTTGGATTAGTAAGAGCGCTCTGGTTCATGAATGTGTTTTATGAATCACTTTTTATTAGAGAATCAATGGTACTCAAGGATGCAGATATAATAAGAGAGGTTAACGGATTCTACCTGACTCTAATTATGAATTATTTATGGAGGATTGATCTATA